GCGCGTCCTTTGGACCAGGGTCCCTGCGCAGAGAAGCTCCTAGTCCGGGGGAACACTGAAGAGACGGCTGACAGAGAGGAAAAAGCCTTCCCCTGGAGCTGACGCCCTGAATTTGGACTTTTAGCCTACTTTGACTATGAGGAAATAAACTTCTCTTCATTAAAACCATCCACTTGTGGTGTGTCTGTTACAGCAGCACTAGATGACTAAGACAGCAGGTAACTAGGGCATCTTCCTCAGATTCCACGGCGAGTTCAGAATTACGTGGCTGCCTACCTGTATGGCAGGTCTCACCTTACAAAACCCTCCAGAGCCCCTCCCAGGCTGCTACCAGCCCAGAAGTGAGTTCCCTCAAGGCTCTCTGGGTCTATTCCAACCCCCCCCCCCCCTTGCCTAGAAGTGGAAGATTCCAGAGACAGCCCTGGACGGATGGACAGAGAGAAGGAGAAGTGCCTCATAAGCAGGGGAGCCCCAAGCCGAGAGTTCAGGCACCACTGATGCAGCGCCTCTTTGTGCCTGGCATCCTGCCATCTCCTCCCAGCCTCACCTTGACAAGCAGGTACCACTAACCCCATTGTACAGACACAGACGTTCTGGTTTGGTCATTGAAAACCTCCCTATGATTTTGAATGAGTCACGACATCTTTCTGGGCCTCAGTTACCTCTTCTGTAAAACGGGGAGAGGTCTTAGAGTCAACCCTCAAGGTCTCCCCCAGCTGGAAACTGCATGGCTGTAAGCATGAGTTCAATGATAGCGGAGAGCTTGTCTGTCTTGGGTGCCCTGTATCCCTGTGCTCAGGAAAGATCTACTGAATGATGCTGAGTGGGTGAATCAGAAGACTCTGGAAGACAGTTTTGCTGTCCAGAAGGGCTCAGGACCCCTCAGAAATAAGATGTCAAAGCTGAAGGGCCCTTGGCAATCACCAGATCTGGCTGTCATTTTACAGAGACCCTGTGTGGTACAAACAGTTAACATGCGAGGTTTGAGTCCACCCAAAGATGCCTCGGAAGAAGGTCCCGACAATCAACTTCTGAAAAATCAGCCACTGAAAACCCTATATAGCCCATTTCTACTCTGACACACATGGGGCTGCCATGAGTCGGAATGGACTCAACAACTGGTTAGGGAGGGCAAGCGGCCTACTGCTATCACTAGGCAATTCCATGGCAAAGCCAAGACGGAAGGAAGCCCAGGCTTCCTAGCTCCCGGCCTCCCTCTGACCTGCCCTATCTCTGGCGGGTGGCTTCCTGGGAGGGCCAGGCTTCTCTCCTCCCTGCCAGGGAGCTGGGGATGGGGGGGAATCTCTCAGCAGAGCCTGGCTCTGAAGCCCTGGCTGCAATCCCCAGGCCCTGCTTGGACCCAGGAGGTTGCAACCCCACTTGGATAGCAGAAGCAGAACGGGGGTTTTGTCCTCCAGGAGAGCCCGTCTGCTGGCTGTTCATGAGCTGGGTTGGGCTCGGCTGGCACAGCGGAGCCTTGTTTCCTTGAATACAAAATCTGCAGCTCTCCAGCCTCACTCACCAGGGCCCCAGTGGGCCAGCAACACTTCCTTCCTAGAGGTCCAGCACCCTGGCCCCTTTCTATTCCCTCACCTCTCCCAGCGCCCCAGGAAACAGTGGTGGTGCCAAGATGTGGCTTGGAGGGGCTCAGCTCCCTCCAGTCCCCATCAAAGCACCTCCCCCATAACACCAAAAACCATCAAAGTACACTCCCCCCTCCATCAAGGTAACTCTAAAAATAGCCTCTAAAAAGTGAGCTGGCTTTGCAAATGCTGCTTTAAGACCACTGCCTTAGCCTCGTGCTTCCCCTCCAACCAAACTGCTGCCTCCTAAGACCCTCCTCATTTGGGGTGTCTGGGTTCTTCCCAACAGCTCCATCTTTTGTTTAGGGGGTTGGGATGCTGGAGAAGCCCAAGAGAAGGAGGGCCCTGGGGGAAAGAAGGAACTGGGGTTGGCAGTGGGGTCACAAGGTGGAAAATTAGCCAGGAACACGAGAGGAGTATTGGAGGGGTGTTGTCCCTACAACGAAGTAGACGTTTGTGACGGGAAACCCAGAGAGGTTATAGAAGAGAAGAGAATGGGTTTTGGAGTCACAGCCGTGGGTTCAAATCCTGGCTCCATCATTTTCTAGCTGTGTGGCCTTGGCAAGTTACTGAACTTTTCTGTGCCTCAGACTCCCCATCTGCACAACGGTGACGGTAATACGTAGTTCCACATCATGGGGTCGCTGGGAGGATTAGATGAGATACCAAATGCCTCGCAGTACTATTAATACAGGCAGTCCCCAGGTTACGAACATCCAACCTGCGTACAGTACAACATATACTTATGAACCAACCCCCGTAGAGCCTATTAAAAATGGGAGATACAGTCAATGGTTTATAATAACAAACGGATGCTACTTTGCAATGTGCCTCAAAATATTATTATCACTGTATTATTGTTAAAGATGTTTCAGTGTACCTGGAAGTGTTCCTTTAATGTCTTTCATGCATAGAAAGGTACATATATACTAAATACTAAGACAAACATTTGACTAACTGACATTAGATACAAACTGTATCTAACTGTTCTGATTTAGCTACAAACTAGACTTAAAGACAGATTTAGGAACAGAACTTGTTCGTAACTGGGGACTGCCTATACTATATTGTCGAGTTTGAGTTAATTTCCCTTGAACTCCCCCTGGGGGCCATGCTCTACAAGGAAGTTACAGCCAGTGAAGCCACACCCAGCCCTGTGCTCCAGAGGCCCTGGGTCTATTCCTCCAGGAATCTTGGGACTCCTGCTCTCCTGGCTGTGCCAGTTTTGGACTGCAAGAAACTTCAGAAGGACTTTCAACCCAGGCCCTGGAGTCAAAAAGCAGGCTCCTTGGAGCCCTGTGACTTTCACCCACAGGCTCAGAGGGTGGTCAAGGACTTGGTTTCCCTCCAGGCTTGGTTCCCCTCCAGGCTGACTGGTAGAAATGTATAAGGCTCCCAGCCACTAGCCCGGGGCTGGGAACTGAAAACCTCTTCCTCTGAGCGGGGCCAAATGCAGAAGCTGTAGCTGCAGCAAGTGGTGAGAAGTGGGAAAGGGCTTTCTCAAGCTCTGGGCTTGCAAAACATCCCCTTCCTGGGCTTCCTGCATGATGTCTGGGCACTGACTGCTGTGTGTGGCTGTGGTGACAGTCTCTACCTGTCCCCAACCTCTTGCCCAGCTCAAGGTGGAGCCAGCTTTGTCAGCACCCCTCCCCTGGCCTTCGGTGGGCTGCCTGTCTGGGGTAGGCCAGACCTCCTGACTCCCCCACCCAAGACGCGGCCTCAGGATGCTTCTACTTCTCTGGATCCACTCCAGACCAGCAGCCTCTGGGCTGTTCCCCCTCCACAGCCAGAGACAGGGACGTGGGCAGTAGGAGGTAGGGAAGGGTAGCAAAGTGTGTATATGTGTGTGTGTATGTGGTGGGGGGGACTGGGCACCTTCTCCACCCTTGGGCACAAACATGGCTGGGGGAGGGTGTGGCTGACCATCTCAGCCCCTATGGGGTGGGGTGGGGGACCCCAGTGATGAACCAGATGGGGAACTGGAGTCCTTTCTCTCTAGGCTCCTCCACAGAGATAGAAGTTTGGGGGGCGGAGCACACAGGTCTGGGAGATGCCCGTCTCACCCAGAGAGGGCTGCAGTGTGGAATTCTGTGGAATAAAGGTAGGGGTGAGAGCAACAGGGCAAGTTGCATTGGAAGAGGCCCTTCTTTCTGACTGAAGTGTTGGGGGGCGGGGCTCAGGGCTCCTTTGAGGGTAAAGGGACACACAGTGGAGAGAGGAGAGGCACAGAACAGGAAGCCTTCTGACAGAAAACAGGGAGCAGGGACTGCAAAGCTGTTGGATAGTGGAGTAGGGGCAAGATGGGAGGGAGAGGCAGTGTTTGGAGGGAGGGGCTCTAATCCCAGAAGGGACTGCCCTGAAGAGATGATTGTGGGGTGGGGGTGTGTACATACCTGCAGGGTGGGGGACAGGAAATAAGGGGTCTTTCCCTAGCGGGATCCCTTAAGGGACAAGGATCCGGGTCTTGGTTAACAGGAAGGGTGGGGGTAAGGGTGGAAGAGGCTTAAGAGTCCCTTTTGGGGGAATCTGAGGTAAGCAGAGCAAATGAGAGGATTCCAATGAGAGGAATGAGTATGGCCTGGGGGGCAGGGAATGGCCACTCTTGAGAGGCTCTTGGGGGTGGGGGTGGGGTGTCTGACCAGCTTGTGTTGGGGTTGGGGAACGGGGAACCAGAGTAGCTGGAGAGGGGAAGGCTCCTCAATCCTGGTATGCGCCGGTGGGGTTCGTGGGGGAAACATCACTAACGGGGTGGGGGTGGTGGCCCCAGGCCAGAGACCTGGGGTCCCCAGGCCCATGTATGTGGTGGTGGTGGTGGTGGGGCTAGCCGGGGTTCGTGATTATCCGGAAGGGGCTGCGGAGTGCCCCAACTTCGTGGGGGCGCGTATGGTGTCCCGGGGAACAGCGTCACTATGAGGGGGTGGTCGCGTGCCAGGGGCCAGGGGCCAGGGGTCCCCAAACCCATACGCGTGGTGGAGTGGCGGATCACTCAGCCTCGTGATAATGTGGAAAGGGCCACGAGGTCCCCAACCCTGGCGTGACGGTGTGGGAGCAGAAGCCCGGGATGGTGAGGGATCGGGGTTCGCGGCCCGAGGCTGGGTGGCGGGGTGGGTGGGAAGGCCGGGTGGCGCGGGCACTCACTGCTTGAACATCTTCTCCATGTCCTTGATCTGCTTCCTGGAGAACTCCTTGAACTCGGTGTAGGGGTTGAAGACGCGGCGGCTGGGCGACTGGGGCTCGCCAATGCCCTGGTTGAGGTCGGCGCGCCGCAGCAGCTTGGCGCTCAGCTCGCAGTCCGCGCTGCCCAGCGCCTCGGCCGCCTCGTCGGGCGCCCCTGCCGCCGCCGCTGCCCCGTTCAGGCCAGGCTGCTCCGCTGCCTCGCTGCCGCCCTCGTCCTCCAGTTGCAGCCGCCGGCTCAGCTTTGTGGCCAGCTCGTCCGTGGCCATGGTTGCCCGCGCTGCGCTCCCTCGGCCCGGCCCCTGCTCGCCGCGCGCCGCGCGCCGCGCACAGCCTCTGGCCGCTCTCTTCCTCTTCCTGACACTCCCCGCGACAGGCACCGCCTCAGGAGGTGGGACTTACGCCCCTCGCGGGGCCCGCCCCCTCCCCGCCCCCGTCGCCCCCCCACCCACTCCGGCCCGGCCCGCCCCGCGCCGCCCGCGCGTGATTGATTTCGGACGCTCCGGGTTAAGCGTGCTGAGGTTTGGGAGCCCGCCACCCCCACCCCCCGTAAGAGTTGGAGGGCCCTGTAAAGATATGCCCCCCTTCCCCATCCTCAGTGTGGCAGCAGAGCGAGAGAGATCGAGCTGGTGGTCTGAGGCCGGAGCGGAAAGGAAGAGTCCCCCTCCCCCCAGTTTGGGGTGGCTAAGGGGCTCAGGGGATTGCCGCCCCCACCCTCTTCTCTGGAATCCCCACGCCAGTGAAGTCATAATCCTGTGTCTGTGACACCCTGTCGGTTGCCATGGAGACAGCTGGATGTCAAACACTGGCGTTCTCAACGAGGGTTGCAGGGGTATGAAGAAGGTGGACCCGGTGAGCAGGAACCCCAATATAGATTAACTGCGGTTGGAGCTTCTGGCATCTGTTAGAAAAGGATGGACCAATAACAGTGAGGGAGGTGGGGCTGGGCCTCACTCCTGAAAGGTCCTAGGTGATCCCAGGAGAGGCGAGTGGGGAAGGGGTTCCGCCCCCCTTGGGCCAGCACCATCATATGGATGACTTGGCAGAATAGCTGCTGGGTCAGAGTTGTCACCTTCGTCTCTAGGGGCACCCACAGGAAGATCTTTTTTTTTTAAAATAATATTTATTTTTGGTGGCAATATACACAACCAAATATACATCCATTCACAATTTCTACCTAACAGTTCAGTAGCATTGGCTACATTATACATCACATTGTGTCACTGTTCTATCTCTACCATATTGTTTCATCACCTCTAATTTAGGCTCTCTAGGAAGAGCTTGATGTTGCCATTTTGGTGGGGGCCCCAGAGAGGAAATATCCTGCCCAAAGGCTAATGGGATGGGGCTGGGGGAAGGGACCAGAGAGGATTTGTCTCAGGGATCTGATCTGTCACCTTAAAACTGCAAAGCTGAGGACCTCCAGCATCAGAGCCAGTGGTGGAGAGGTAATAATGCAGATTCCCAGGCCCCACGCCAGACAGATGAAAGTGATCTCTGGAATGGGACCCAGGAATCTGCATTTTAACAAGCTCCCAGAGAAGTTCTGCTCACTGAAGTTTGAGAACCAGTAGTCTAGGAGGACTATGTTTTGTGCGTCTTCTCTAAAATGTCAGGACAATGTGAGGACCCTTATGTGGAAACCACGCTCCCACCAGCCCAAGTGCAGAGAAAAGAGGGACGCAGGGCTTACAGACCAATGTTCCGGACCCAGACAACACTTGAGGATTTAAAGCCAGCAAGCTGTTCGCCAGCGATCTGCACAGACAATCGATATTTGTCGATTTGCCATAGTTTAAGAATGTTGCTGAATTAATTTAAATGAATTAATTTTAAAAAAGAATGAAATCAAGGGAAACAACTTTTCTGGTTCAGAAAATGATATTTGCATCAACTTGATTTTGAGATTGTTTCTGAGGGCAATAAAGACATTCAGCTTCAATGACATGATTTTTTTTAAAGCTCAGAATTAAGTGTCCATTGGTCTTCGGCAATTTGGCCCAGTTACTTGCAAAAGGTGAGTTCTGTGTCTCCCATACGTGACCTTGAAGGACCTGACCAAAGTAAAATTGTTTATGCTATTTACTGACTGCAAAGGACTAGGGACATAAAAGACTAGGGACAGGTTGTAGACTGAAACTTTAAAATTTCTATCTGTAGATGCTTGGGTTTGCCAAATTCTTAGTCATCCTCACAAAGCAGCTAATTATTTAAAAAAATCTGATGAAACTCAACTTACTCCAAAACCAGAACCAAACCGGTTGCGATCCAGTTGATTCTAACTCGTGGTGATCCCACGTGTTACAGAGCAGAACCGAGCTCCATAGGGTTTTCTTGGCTGTCATCTTTACGGAAGCAGAGCACCAGGCCTTTCTTCCCAGGTGTAGCTGGGTGGGTTTGAACCGCCAACCTTTTGGTTAGTAGCCAAGCACTACTAACCAAAGCCCCCAGGGACCATCAATTTACCCCAACATATGATTTATAATGGGTCTTCATAAAATAGAGCCACTTTTATTATGAAATGTTTTGCATTTGCTTGACATGGCAGCAAACTTTTAACAGCCAAGAGATGATGTGAGGGGCTTGCCTTCTTAAAAAAACAAAAACACATTTGTGAAAAACCAGGGGGTTTGTATTAGTCAGATAAGCTATATGTAGTTATCAAACTTCCTGGTCAATGACTATACTTAGTAATCAAACTTCCTGGTCAATGATTCATTTGGCTTGTGTGGACACAATCATTGGGAGGGAGGGCAGTCCCCATGAGGCCCAGGTTGGGGAATTCCTGTTTATTACCTATGGTGTCTTGTAAAAGGGGAGCTGAGCTCCTAAACCTTGCTGTTAATAAGCTCAGAGCTCAGAAAATGCTGCCAGAGTGGGCGAGCCCTTTTAACACCTCTTGAGTTGATTTTCTCACTGGCTTTCTGGGTTTCCAGAGCTCTGGGGCTCTGTGACCACAGGGGAAGAGGGTGAGCTGCCTAGCACTCTGCCCCATTTCAGAGGCACTGGGCCTTGGGCGGTGCAAACAGTTTGTGCTTAGCTACTAACTGAAAGGTTAGCAGTTTGAACCCTCCCAGTGGCATCACAGAAGAAAGACCTGGAGATCTGCTTCTGTAAAGATTACAGCCAAGAAAACCCTATGGAGCAGTTCTACTCTGTCACACATGGGGTTGCCATGAGTTGAAATCGACTAGACGACGACAGGTTTTTTTTGTTGATGTTTTTGGGCCCGGGCCTTGCCTAGGAAGACTGTTGATCTGCCCCAAAGCCAGAAGTGCATGTGGGGGCTGCACTGTATTTGAACTTTTTCCTTTTAAGATCACTGGACTTCAAGAAAAGCACTTATTCAGACACCAAAGTAGTAGGTAAGGAAGGGAAAAGCAGGGCTAACTGAGAAGCGCTGATGTAACTTCCAGGAAATATCAGTTGCTTATTTATTAGGGAAAAATCACTTTTGAATGACCCTGAATCCTGTACCCGGAGCGTGGGTTCTGGCAGAAAGAAACGGTCTGGACTGGTTACACATTACAGCATTTGGTCATGTGGAAAGAATGATCTTCAGGAAAAATCACACCCTTCAAAAAGGATTGTTACAGAGGCCGGGGTGAGGGAGAGCCAATTCTGACCCTATTCCAGGGCAAGGGAGCTAGGTCGACTTAGTCATTGTTGACTATGTATCTTTTCTTCCTCCCACAGCTCCTTGTATAACTGTCTTTTGGGCAGGGGTGAAATCATGTTAAGAAAAACAACAGCACTTTGACAATCAGGGAGGAGGGAGAGGTTTCGAAAGAGCTCTTGGGTGATGGAGCAGGCAGAGTGAACACTGCTGGGCATTCCAGAGCCTGACCAAGCTGGGTGGTCTCTCCAGCCAAGATGCTGGGAAAACAAGGAGGACGGATTAGGGAGGCGGTAAGAGATAAAGCTGGTTCAGAAACTGCAGCACTCGTTTAGCACTTTACAAATACCAGCTTACTAATTAATCATCACAAACACTCTGTAGTCATCAGGAAATCCTTGGTGAGGTTGACTGATAAAGCTATGCAGAGGTCAAGTTTCAGGGGCAGCCCAGATACTCATCTGGAGCCATCTGGGTAAGAGCAGGGAATGGGGTCACAGCCTGGCTGGTCTCAGGGGTCTTCTTACCTCTTGCAAAGTCTGGAAACCATGCAGGGGGTGCCATGGGGGTGCCATGGGGGAGAGGAGCTGGGGTCAGGCAGGTGCTTATGGGAATGTTGAGCGGGACAGTGTTCCCAGGATGATGGGGACAATGGCTGCAGGGAGACGCATTTGCAAGTCATCAGAAGCCAACCTCTTTAAAAACCAAAAACACAAAATGAGTTACCATTGAGTCCTTTCCAGCTCGTGGTGACCCCGTGAGTTGTAGAGTAGAACTGTTCCATAGGGTACTCATTGCTGTGACCTTTCGGAAGCAGACTGCCAGGTCATTCTTCCAAGGCACCTTTGGGTGTGTTCAACTGTCAGCCTTTTGGTTAGCAGTCAAGCACTTAACTGATTGCACCACCCAGGGACCCCTTAACCTATCTATAAACCAAAGCTAAAACCAAACTCATTGCTGTTGAGTAGATTCCGACTCATAGTGACCCTATAGGACAGAGTAGAACTGCCCCATATGGTTTCTAAGGCTGTAAATCTTTATGGAAGCAGACTGCCACATCTTTCTCTTGTGGAGCGGCTGGTGGGTTTGAACCGCCAACCTTGAGGCAGTTAGCAGCTAAGCGCTTTAACCACTGCGCCACCAGGGCTCCTTAACCTATCGAGCTCTCTTTTTGTGGTTATCTTGGATACTATGAAAAACCAAAATCATCTTTCAGATTAGTTGCATGTGCCCAATTGGATGGGCTGGAGAAAAAAAAGCTGAGCTTGTTTTTTGCTTCTGTTAAGTCACAGGCAGTTGCAGAGTACTAGTTAAACTCCCAAAATATGTGTGTGTGTGTGTGTGGCTTAGAAATCAGCAATGCTTCTGCAATGCCCTCCTGGACCCGTTCCAAGGATGGTGATAATATATATAGCTGATCGTGTTTTTATCCGTGCACCAGCTACCCTGTGAAAACAGCATGCTTCTAAAGTCAGACCATCAAGAGATGTTTATTAAGCCTATCAGGCACTTGACAGTCATCCTGTAACTCTCCTGGTCATGGGCAAGGTGGGGGTGAGTTGGGGTGTTGCATGGCATAGCCAGCTTGAGGAGTGAGATTTGTTGGACCTCACACTGGGCGACTGATCACGTCTTTCAGCTACAGCCTCCTCTGACTTGGACCCAGCACTCAATACGACCTGTAATGAAAGCTGTTAATACAATCTCTCA